TGAATGAATCGGTTTTGGATCTATTGGTAGACGTGTTGTCCAAATATATGTGGAGTTTATGTCAAACCATTCGCACGACAAGCGACTTCTTAGAGCTCAAGTCCGACAATGATTTCATCGATGTTATGGACCGAGTATTTCACGACATGAATGTCACAGACTTTGAGTCTTTACGACAATATAAATCACATTTAGATCTTTATAACGAGAATCTCATGAAAGAAGTGATGAGAAGAATCGAGTCCAAGACCACCGCAAAGACTATAGCGTCGGATGTGTCGGCACTTATGGACACTAATAGTGATAATTCGCCACAACTTTCAGTCAATAGTCAGTCCGAGAATAGAGAAGAGCAGACACTGTCTCTTAAATCACTTCTCAGTTCATATAAAGTAATGTTTGTTTTATTATTAATCAAATTAATTAATATCTAAATTGATTTTTGTCTGAATAGAGCGATGAAGTGCACGAAAATGAACAGTTGTTTGGTTTGACGTCTCCTCTCACCTCCACTTCTAATAAAAGCAATTAATTAAACAATTTTCTTGTTATCAAAACTCATAAAATCATTATTTATTCATTGTTTAAATTGTGATTAATTTAATTTAAGTTTGATATACTGTATATATGTGTAAAACATTCATTTATTATATATACAAATCAGATTCAGACAAATCAATATCGACGCCGAGTGTCATCATTGGATGCGCTCTTTGATGTATAATTTTATCATTTATTAAAATTATAATTATTATTGCATTCATTAAATTGTCTAATGGATTAACTGATTTAATTTGTTTGTATATTACGGTATAATATATGCAAAACAAATCCAATAATACTATACATAAATATTTTTTGGGTAAAACTATCAAAAGAGCAGTAATTCATAGATTTATTTGAATAGAGGATGAAAATTGAATTCAATTTGAATTACTGGCAAATATTGCAAACAATGGTTTAAAATGGACTACAATTTGTATTAACAGAACTATGTATTCGTCAGAATTGATATCTTTTTATCGGTGAAAAAGTTCTTCAAAACCATCACTTGTCCGACGCCTATGAGTAGTACAACACCTGTTTCGATGAGAGACCACCAAAGGACCCGATTGTTGAGATCTTCAGCCCGTTTCCTGCCTTTGGCTTCATTGAGACGATAGTGTGTTTGCGCGTCAATCATAGTATTGAGACTCTCGTGAATGTTGGCCGACGACTGTTCCATCTG